GCAACCACGAGATGGTAAACGAAAGAGAGGCAGACAGGTAAAAAGATGGATGGACGACATAAAAAAGGTCGCTGAGAATACCTGGCCAAGGAAAGCCAGAGACAGGGAAGTGTGGAAACAGCTGGAAGAGGCCTATGTGTCACAGGACACGCTGATCACTAAACCGAAACTGATGTGTTAGTTTATAAGTTAGTTTAATTATTACTTTTGTTATTTTAGTTTAGTTCAGCAATAAAGGCTTATTATTATTATTATCGATACAAGTGCAGATTTTGCTCTTCATTTAACCAACTTTAGCTACTTAAAAAAATAAAACCAGTGACCTCAAATAAAGTTTTTATTATTAAAATACCAAATATCAATTACAGTGAGGATGAATTAAACGACCTATGAGTGTATGACGTCATCACCATAAAGGTGCAAGTGCTCGTGAGAGATAGCTAGAAACTCCCATTGCGTCCCCATTTACCTTTTATGTCCATCCTTAGAGTATCCTGTCATTATGACCTTATTTTACTGCTCTCTTATTTTAATGCGGTTTTATACAAATAGGTTCATATATTTATAATATTCAGATTGTTGTTGTTGTTTAGTTGAGTGCGTCGCTTATACGTGCGGTGCAGTGCATACTTGAGCGTCGAACCGGGTGCATTCATAGCCATTCTCATTAGCCGTTATTTAGCATAGTTTCGTGGAATAAACTATTTTTATATCAAGTGCAACAAACTGTTTTAATAGTGACTCCACCCCAGCAACTACCACATAGCTCGCGACCCAATATTAATTCCAAAAATACCGAAATATTGCGAGTTTAACTGTTATAAAAAAAGATTGCAGATACCTCTTGGATACACTAAAGAAACATTAAAATACTTATTTTAAAACATTTATAAAAGCTCACTCACATAAATAAAATAATAATTAAAAGTAAACTAAATTAATTTAATACGAAAACGTATATACAAAGTTACCCAATTACAATATGAGATTAAATTCAGTAATTCAGCATACTCCCCGAAGCCTAGAGTAAACTCATAAACTATATGGAGAGCTCCATAAACATTCCGAATGGTTCAATATGCAAACATTAAATTTGCCACAACATTTACGTGATTCATTGATTAATTATTGTGATATGTTTCAACTAATATTAGTACTGTTATAACATTTGATACTCTCATTAATTACCAAAACGTTTACCATGCATCCCTTCACTATCTTATGGGTCACAAGTAATGTAAGTCCGTCCGAAAGTTTAATATCCAAATCTCAGGCACATCCCTAGCCGCACCAGCGCGGATTTACGACCTCATTTGACATCAAAACTCCCAGAAACGTTCCCGTTGAAAATATTCGTATATTAACGTCGCGAATGCGATACACCTGGGCACATCCCTAATCATAGCGATGGGAATTTATGACGTTATCTGACATATAGGGTAAGATAGTGATGTGGCGAGAGTTTTTATCACTGTGACTAATATTCCAGCACTAGCACGTATCTTTTACTGCCACATAAACGTAGATCTCCTGTGATAGAGTACTATTCGAGATGGATTACCTAGTAAATCGAGGTTAGATGATGAAACTGAGATGGATTGCTGTGTTTGTTGTAATTCTGCTCGCAAATAAATGGTAAAATATGGTTGTAGTGTTGGAGGTTGTTCTCAATGGCAGGGAAGGTCATTAGGTGCTATTAGGTATTTGAGTATCGGTTTTGATTGATGTTTATCTTTCTGCTGGCTTTTGTAAACTAGATTAGACTAGACAGACTCAGTGTTTTCATGGTTGTATCTACTGTAGATCCTGGTTTACAGGAGTTGCAGCGGTTTTGGGATGTTGTGGCGGGCTTGTCCTATGAAAAATAGACAAACTCTGCTAGTGCTTCATTAGAATATTATTCCCCTTAGAAAAAGGCTCTGATACAGACGGTCAATATATACTTTGGAGCGGCCAGTACTCTTTCTTTTATAAAAATTGTCATTAATTAATTGTAGCTAGTTAAGGTTCTAACATAAGAGACCTGAATACCAAAAAGATCTTATATAACAAACCACTTATTCTCAATTCCATGAGCACGTACACACGTTATAATTTTGCCCAAACAGCAGCTCGCAGTGTGACGACGGAACTCCGTCACAATCCACTTTCGTCGCTGTTTACCGAACATACTCATGTCAAGAGCAGTTTCACCTGAGCCCTAGTACCATTGTTTACTACATGCATCAGTAGGTACGTATGTATGTGCGTAAGTCGTGAACTTGGAAAAATATTTGCCAGTCAACAGTCACTTGAATAGTTTAGTTATCGGTGCCGACTTCCTGAGTAAATATCGTCGAGGGAGTATTCTGTTGATGTGAAGCTATGGAATTTCTGTTTAGATATTTCTTGAAATGGTTTACTAGTTTATGTATGACTATGTTTTGTTATTTATGCTTTATACCTCTATAATTACTGAAAACGTTCCTTTGGATTCCGTTCCAGACCAGACTCAAAGAGTCATCAGACCACCACAGATGGGGCTCAGTAGGGCTAATGCCCGATACGGAGCCGCTGAGGCCTAACAAGTTGCTGCGGCTTCGGCTCGATGAGCAGGAGTAGCAACAGGGTGTTTTTTTTTTCAGTCAAGAAGAGTCTGACACTCCGTCTCGCCTAACCCAAGGCGGGAGAAGTCATTGGATGACGTTTCTATCAAAAAAAGTTTGAAGAAAAGATTTTTGGGCTTTGTTCTTACAGAAACAAACGATTTTTTGTAAACTCATTGGATAATATCCTACGTACAGCTCATATTTTACTACCTAGAATACATAATAGCTAATAAAAAAAGAGAACACACAATTTGGTACAATACTGTAACGTGTTAAATCGAAGAACAAAAGCCTTAGCACTTTTTATAGAAGCATTACAAAAAAAAAAACTAAAGATATCCTTTTCCATTTTACGCGTATGTGAGATAAGAAATCTAGTCTTAATCGTATCTAGGCAACCTGCACGGCACTTACATGCACGGTTCATATGTAATGGCGTCGTTACGACGGCTGTCTCTTTTATTACATTCTGTTACGTTATAGTAATGTATGTTATAAAGAGCTCTATATACAATAAGTAGCTTAGCGCTTATGGAATAGTTTCTTTTAAATGCGTATTGTCGGTGTGTGGGTCACAAGTGCGACTGCCGGTCTCGGGTTCGTTTGCCGGATCGGGCAAAGTATTATAGGGTTTTAAAAAAAATCTCAGTAACTAGTAGTATGAAGTCTGAATATGTGCTCAGTATATGGCATTAGCCTCACACCCTATTACATGAGACTCATAACATAAATAGTGAAAAGTGGATATTACATTGTACAGTGGTATTAAGTGCCATAATGTGCACCTCCGCCTACCCCTGTGTCCCTTTATGTTGATGTATTAAAAGGTATTAGTACGATAGTTCTTTTTTAAACGGCTATAAAAATTAAGGGCATTGTATTTTCTGTCTATGTTACGAAGAAAAGAGATTGCTATATTTTAATAGGTCTTTTCGATTCCTTTTTTGTCAGAATTATCTATTTAGTTAGCGTAGTTTTAAAGATGAAAGCGATTCTGTTTATTTTGAAAGTACAATTACTTTCAAAATAAACAGAATCGCTTTCATCTAGTATATATAATCAGATCTGCTATAGTAACTTGAATAACTGGATTTAAATGATAATTGTATCATTTAAATCCAGTTATTCAAGTTACTATAGCAGATCTGATTACGATTACCTACTTCAAATTATTATAATTACAGACCAATACAAAAATAACTTTCATCAGCAACATAAACCAATGAATCGACCTCTTCCATAGTTTCCTGTTTAACATCCTATTCATTCCCCAGTCCTAGCAAATCATAGAATATTAAACACAAAGCCCCAAGCACCAGTGTTTCGTATTTGACACATTTTGTGCAGACACTGAAGCAAGAAGGCTTTCAAGAGACCACAACAGCACGTCCTCCGACTGAGGAAATTGACAAGCATCCGACTTGTGTCGACTCCTCATTGCTTACAATTCTGGCCGACTAGCGACTTGTGAACTTCACTATTGGTAGAGAAAGGGTTATTTCGCTAAGTAAAGGATGTTTTGCTATGGAGAGGTTGCTTCGCTTTAAACTATTGACGGTGGCCTGATTGGCTGACATTAGTCAGGTACGCTGCTGTAAATACCAAACAGTCTTAGTTATAAATATTGCTTTTTTAGGCTTTGCTTTGCTTAAATGGGTTGAGGTCACGTTCAAGTTTATCTTACTTTGATCGTGTTCAAGTTTGATCTGTTTTAGGGCCGATTTTTCAATAATCAGTTAATTGTCAACTGTAGAATAAAATTAACATTTGACAGTTTTTAGTATGGAAGAATTGTAAAAATTGTTTTATCCTTCAGTTATAATTTATTTGAGTATTGAAAAATCGGCCCTTAATCGTCAATTAAACAGTTCACTACTTACAAAAAAATCAGTTAAAGTCAGTTACTGTAATTGGGTTTTCTACCGTTGTGAGTGACTGTTTAAAAATAAATGAATAATAAATAATCAAAAATGGTCATACTTTGTATGTACTGTTATTATTTTTTCTAATATCGTATTAACAAAAAATCTTCCAGTACCAACATTTTTCATGAAGTAACTATATATTAAAGTCTTCGGAATTTCCAACAGTAACAATATACCTACTACAAACATTGTGTAACCATAATTTATATCTCCAAGCAAATTAACCTTCAGTAATTCTTGTATTCTGCTTCAAAAATATAGTTTCAACGTTCAAGCACTACTTACTTAAACCTTGGCACCGACATCGGGGTTCGCCATAAATATTAGCTCGGAGAGAGGATACATAAGAAATATATTCACAGATACCCAAGGACGTTAATTCCAGTATTTTGCATAGCACATTATTATCACTGAAATAATATCTCGTTTACAATTCTCCTCGTTAAAATGCATACAAATGGACGACATTTTATTATAAGTAAAGATTATGCGTAAGTACTTTAGATTGCCTGGTAGGTTCCTCTAGAGTTTTCTTTTGCTTAGTCAATGAAAAGAATCTTTGATTTTTTTTATGGTAGTATTGAGTGTAGGAATGTGTGTGATATGCATCTATTAATTCTACGCCGATTCTAATAGACTTATTAAATGTAGAAGAAACTGTGACTATTTCATCTCAGTAGTTCTTCTAAGCGCAGTCAAATAAGAAATACCAGCCTTACCGAGTCAAATTCTAAAGTATAGTATTGCAAATAGGCAAGACTATAGCACATCTGTACAAATTGTATCTGTAGAGTACGCGAGGTTGCCGGGGCTCTGGCTCGAATTGCAGGAGAAGGAACGGGGTCGTTTTTATACAGTAAGAGTCTGACACTCCCTCCCGCCTCACCTGGGCGGCAAGAAGTCATTCGATGATTTATAATAAAGCCTTTTATTCAGATTTACAAAAAACAAAATAAGTTACAACAAAAGTTTAATATTTCGATAAAAATTCGATGATTTACTGCCCTTAAAAAATACAAGTTGTATCTGTAGAAATATTTTATGGTAGGAATGGAAAATTGGACATGGTCTTCTACAACTTTTAAAATATTATAAATGGAAAACAAAATAACTCTTTAATATCTATGTGTTTCTGCTGAAATACTTTATGATAATTTCATAGACTCGGACTACTAAAGCTACTAACATTGTGGTATATCAGCAACCACTAAATATACTTTAATTATAGGATAGAACTGACTGAACATAATAATACCATGCTACTGTTGAACACATTGAGTTTTAATGAAACCACAGAAACTTTACCATGTGTAATTACATGGTTGTTTACATATATATCACAACTTACAAGGTTATATTATAATTTATAGTTATTACTTGCATAATTATTATATGTTCCGTAACCCGCATATAATCGAGCAATTTGAGAGGACAATACCGTGTTTATTTTTTATTTATTACAAATGTTGTTTTTATAAGACTAAACCACTCATTATTCTAAATAAAAGTTTAGTTTTATTAAAAACCTATTATTTTATTACGCAGGAAATAATTTTGTGCAACTCTTATTTTCATTTTGAAAATTACTTATCATTTTATAATATTAACAGAAGTGTGGGAGAGACTCTGGCACGAATGGGCCGACTCGACAGGTTCATACCACAGCCTCACAGAAAACCGACGTGAAATAACGCTTGTGTTGTGTTTGGTCGTGTGAGTGAGGTTACTGGAGGACCAACTACCCCCCGTCTTCCCCAATCCCTGAATCCCCAACATTCCTCAAATTCCTAATCCCCAAAAGGCCAATACCGCAATTGTAACACCTTTGGTGTTCCAGGTGTCCATGGGTGACGCGAAGCCGATTGCTTACGATCAGGTAATCCGTTCGGTCGTTTACCGGCTTATCCCATAAAAAACAACATACCTACCTATTTGCCGCAGTTAATGCTCTAGTTCTACTTAACTCTTAACTGTTTGACTAGTTCATTAACATTATTTAATTAGACATTTAACCCTACACCCATATAAGACAGGAAATAGATTTATTACAAACTTGTTACTGAACCACGAACCCGCACAGGCCCAAACAGTAATCAACACTATCTCCATACAACCAATATCTATTATTATTATTATTATTACAATTGACATTTCAATTACCCAAATGATGTATACTCGATCGTATCTCCGCACCATAATAATTGCACATACATTGCGGAGTTATAGAGGATAGAATACATTTGCAATATAATAAAACAGGCAACGAAGAGCGTGCAATTTTAACTAACACGCGACGATTATTATGATAATTTAGAAAGGGGTTAATATATGCTACTGTTTGCATAATTCAACGATGCCGATGTATGACGCTGCCGTGTTAACCTAATTACTTAATAGGTGTATTTGTCCGTTTTTAAAGTGAATAACATTAGCACCTTATCCTGGTATTGAAGGGGATGATAGCATCGTTTGATTGGCATAATAAATATCCATTTCCATCGATATGTATTTGATTTTACTCCAATATAATTGACTGCTCATTGTTCACTGGTAGCCAGTTATAAGAATGTGCACCACTGAACTTCTTTGTATGTACATTTAATTATATCATAATATCACGCCTTTTATCTCTCAAGGGGTGGGCCACTGCCACTGTTCAATATAAAACCCACTTTTCACTATTTATGTTATGAGTCCCATGTAATAGGGGGTGAGCCTATTGCGGCATACCGGGCACAATTCCAAGCTCCGTGCTACTACTGCGATTTTAAAACCCAGTAATACCTTGCCCGACCCGGAATTCGTACCCCAAACCCCTTGCCCAGCAATCGCACTTGCAACTACTCGGCCAACAAGGCACTACTGCCAACTTCCAAATTATATTATATAGTCCAAAAATTAATGTTATTTCATTTACGAAACAACTGGTTTCCTTCCACTAAAACCTACCGATATGGCTCATCAACGAAAATTAAAACGTACCTAAGCAAATAAAGATAATATCCTGACCTCCTTGCTTAATCTTTTAAACACGACATGTCCTTTTTACGATGAGTAATCCTTCTATAATATACCCATCTATCTTCCAACTAGAAGAACGTAGGCTTTGTCGACACCACACTTTAACTTTCCAGATACAGTATTTGCTTGTCTGTTTCTTTAGTATGTGTGTAGTTACAGGTATGTACATACATACATACATAACTTCACGCCTATCTCCCATGTCCGGGCAGAGACTATGGAACGCCAATTGTTACGATTCTTACATACGTATTTCGCTTCATAAACAGTCATCAGTATTTACATGCATGCTCGTTGGTTATTATTATATTTACTGAAAATGACGGTTTCCCCACGTAAAACGTACGTACGTTTGTAGTTAATTCTGTATGGCTCACGATAGTTATTATAAAAACATAGTAATAGTAATAGGTACTAGATGTGTAAGAAGAGGCTTTTCTTTAGCCGTGAGATTTTTATAGGTCGATGATGTGAATGAATACTGGATGCACGTCGCTTCTAATCGACCAAACTAGAAGTAATTGGGAAAGGCCTATATTCGGTAGTGGATATACTGTAGCTGATATTATGATGATCATGAATCAGTTTTAGGTACATGCCATTTAACAATTTAATCTTTTATTAAGCCAAAATTGTGTAGCCTTATTGCGGCAGGCCTTATTGTAAAGAAACATTAACATCAGACAGTCGAAATGCAGTCATCAATAGAGTTTCCCAAGCCAACTTTAAATTCCACTTACCTATTGCAAACAATACTGTTACGAATCCCTGTGAGGCCACAGTACTTACTTCGGAACAGCCAATAATATCGAGACTCAACCCTCACCACTATTAGTGAACTAGTGACAGCTCTAACAGTACACTGCAAGTTACACAAAACCAGTATAAACTGACCATTAAATGTGCAGAAAGGGCATAAAAACCAAGACCACGATATAGTGGTTCTGCACAGGTCGATGTGCAACTATGTACCTTACTGACCTATTTCGTCCAACCTATACAACTTGCAACGAAAAGTAAAATTTTAATTGAATTTTGTATCCGTACGGAAACAGTTGAAATATTTCAGTTGAGTCACAATTTGTTGTGTATTTCGCCTGTAATTGTTTATGCAACTACAACTGACTGGGTGGTACTAACTAACGTTTTAGGTTTCATTTTTAAAATAAGTGGGCACTTTGTTTTAGTTACTTCTGGTTACGTTGGTGTGAATCAGTACCATATGTACTGATTTCAGATTAAATAAACTTACTTCATCTGCTTCAGCAATAGGTAGACTTAATGACAGAGTTAATGTCCGTCAAACAATATAGTTTTTGTTTAATAGGATAAGTCAGTAAACGATTAGACGGATCACCTGATAGTAAGCAATCGACAGCGCCTATGGACACTCAGAACACCAGAGGCGTTACAAGTGCGTTACCAGCCATTTGGGTATTACAAATTTGAGGATTGTTGGAGATTCAGGGATTGTTACCCGGTCGATGACGCTCCTACACTTATTGTCTTGTGAAAATATCAAAAACATTTCATGCTTTAATGTTTCACCTCTATTTTATTTCAGTTGTAGCTGGTTACTTGTTTACCAGTAAGATGTGTGTTCAGTACTGCTCACTGTGTTCTCAAACAAACAGTATCGTGTTACCTCCACACCGCACTTCTAGTATGTCAACAGCTTATTTTACACTTGACACTATGCTACAGACATACTCAAACTTTGTGATAAAAGTGAAAAATTATATTTCTGTTGTATTTATGTTTTAGTAGTAAAATTATGAACCGGTTGAAATGCTTTTAAAATTTCTATAGAACTTGGATTGCCCTTCATTTTATTTTGCTGACTGTTTTGAAAGTGCACTTACCCTCAAATTGTGGTATTAATCTCGTTTGATGAAAATCCCTTTTGATATTTCTTATCACGCAAAAAATTCAAATTCACATTCAAAATCCACTTATTTTTTCAGATTTCTTATTTTTTAATTCGAAAGCACTCTTCTAAGGCTCTCGAACAAAAACACAGTTCTTAATTTATGAGGTCATCACACAGCGGAGTCGTAAGTTAAACGGAATCGTAAACATAAATAAATACTAAAGGAACGGTTTCATGGGTAGAAGCAAATAAAGTAAATATTCATAGAAAACTTCATGGTACATTATACCTACTCCTTTACGTAACATTACCCTACGTTATTTACTTCAGTGAAAAGAGTTTAGGTACTAAATCAGGGCTTTACAGTCTAGTACGTTTTTTCCTTGATCCCTGGTTGCTAAAAACTTATTCTTCTTTTCATTTCGGCCGACTAATCGTTGCTTCAAATCGGCCAATGGAGCATCTCCTAAGTTTTTGCAATCTCATGGTCGAAACTCAGTATAATGATGACTCGTTAGATCAGACCCTTTCTAATTTACCGCAAGACCAGACAAACTTGAGGTTACGTCACGTATTATTATAACATGGCCGATCTTTTTT